TGAGCAACACAGAAAGAGGAAGAATTTCACTGCCTGTGACCACTACTTTTGAATGATACATACCACAAGAAGAAAGAAAAAGAAAGACATTTGGGAACAGACAACAAACATATTCTTCTTGATGATTTTTGACCACTGCAATGGAAACAAGTCCTTAATTTTTCATCAAGAATCTCTTTTTTCTTTTCCTTTTGCTCTCTCTTTGTGTATGTGCTGAAAATGATTCATGGACATTTATGCATATACATATTTGTCTCTCTTTTCTCATTTCCAGCATATTTTGAACATAGTTATTTTTCATGGATTTGTCTTTTGAGGACTAAGGATTTTAGATTAGTATATTTTTGCTCTGTTTTGTATTGTTTTTCACTTGTCTTTTTCTCTTGATTCTCTTTCTCTCTTTTCTTTTGCTAGCAGACAAATTCTATTGTTCTCTCTTCACTCTTCCTTTATTTTTTTATTTCTATTTTTTCTCTTATTCCCTCACTGTCATCACACCTAAATCTCTTCTGCATTCTCCTTGTTTACCTTTTGAAATTGCAAACAATTTTTCAAACTTATTGTTTTTACTGTTGGTAATTGCTTAATACAATTCCTGATTATTGTTCCAGTTAAAATTGTAGATGTCATAGTAGGAAGTAAATATTTAGTTTAATACTGTATACTGTTTGCATTGGTTATTGTTATTGTTTCCTTCTAATTGTGAAGTACTACTGGAAACTTTCAAGATCACTATAAGCTAGGGTAGAAAGTCTCAGATCAGAAAGCCTCAGATCCATACTGTTAGATGAGTAGACACACAAACAACATGAAAAAGCAAGTAAAAAAACTTCCCCAAACAAATCAAAATACTTTAATAACAGAATTCCATCAATATCATAATGGAAGACATGTCAGAGAAGGAGTTTAGAATACATAAACTGGTCTGCAAGGTAAAGTATGAGTAAAAAGTAAAATAAGAGAGAAGATACAGGACATGAAAGATTACTTCAATGAAGAGAGAGAGATTCTGGGAAAAAAATCAAGAAGAAATCCTTGAAATGAAGGAATCAATAAATAAAAATTCAGTGGAAAGCATCATTAACAGACTAGACTACTTGAAGGACATAGCAATCAATGAAGACAAAATATATCATCTTGAAAATAAAGTTGGCCATGGAGAAAAGATGTTAAGAGATCGTGAACAGAACTTTCAAGAAATTTGGGATAACATGGAAAGACCAAATTTAAGATTGATCAAGACAGATGAAGGCTTGGAGATACAAGCCAGAGGAATGCATAATGTTTTGAATAAAATAATATCAGAAAAATTCCCAAGCCTTAATAAATAAAAAGGAAAATCAAATAGAGGAGATATACAGATCCCCAATATACAAAATTACAACAGACCCACACCAACCAAGGCACATTATTATAAAAATGCCTAAAATACAAAGTAAAGATAAAGTTTTAAATGCTGCCAGAGAAAAACAACAGGTCACATTTAGAGGGAAATTAATCCAGATCACAGCTGATTTCTCAATCCAGACTCTTGAAGCTAGGAGGTCTTAGAATAATACATACCAAGATCTGAAAGAAAATGGATGCCAACCAAGAATACTATACTCAACAAAGTTAAGCATCAGAATTTACAATGAAATAAAAACCTTCCATGGTAAACAAAAGTTATTAACAACTAGAAATCATGCATGACCAAACATACTCAATAAAATATTTTACAAAGAAGAAATGAAAAATAAAAGTGAAAAACTATAAAGGAAGAAATTACGCTAAAAGAATAGATGATCAAAGGAGAAACTAATTCAAATTAAAAACCAGAAATAAATTTAAATGATGGAATACAAATCATTTCTCAATAATAACATTGAATATATATGAACTAAACTCATCAATCAAAAGACATAGACTGGCAGGTTGGATTAAAAAACAATACCCAACAATATGCTGTCTCCAACAGCCTCACCTCATAGGCAAAGACATCCACAGACTAAAGGTAAAAGGCTGGGAAAAAAATATATCATTCACATAGATTTCATAAACAAGCAGGGCTTTTTATCCTCATAGCAGATAAAGTGGACTTAAAGCCAAGTTAATCAGAAGACCAAGAAGTTCRTTTAATACTGCTTAAGGGAATCATACAACAAGAAATAACTGTCATCAGTATTTATGCCCCCCAATGGATAACCTACACATACCTAGATTTATAGATTTTTCTACCCTATGAACTTACTGTGTCCCTGAAAGTTTCCAGTACCTCACAGTTTAGGGGGAGTCAAATGATAACAACTAATGCACATGATGTACAGCATTAAACCAACTAGTTTCTACTATGACATTTACAATGTTAATTGTCACTATAAATAGAAATGATGTGATCAATTATTGCCCATAGTAAAAACATTAAGTTTGTAAAAGTGTTTGTAATTTTAAATGGTGAACCAGGAGAGAAGAGATGAGATATAGGATGTGAAGATTATGAGGGAGGACAGAAAATATTTTAGAAATTTTAAATATAAAAAAAAGGAAGAGTAAAAAAGAGAACAAAGAGTTTGGCTATTAGCAGAAGGAAAAAAGAATCAAGGGAAATAGATAAGTGAGAATACAAATATATATAAAATTAAAATTAAAATATTAAGAAGTAAAAATTTTAAAAAATAAAATTTTAAAATAAAAAACAAAAGAATATTGGGGCTGGGGATGTGGCTCAAGTGGTAGCCGCTCGCCTGGCATGCGTGCAGCCCGGGTTCGATCCTCAGCACCACATACAAACAAAGATGTTGTGTCCGCTGGAAAAAAAAATATTAAAAAAATTCTCTCTCTCTCTCTCTCAAAAAAATAAAAATAAAAGAATACAAAATAAAACAGAGATATACTAATCAAACATCCTAGCCCTCAAGATACTAAGCCATGAAAAGTAACTTCCTTCAAAAAATGCTAGAAAGAAGGGGGAAAAGACACATATGTATATGTATCATGTCCATGAATCATTCAGATCACAATGAAACAGAGAAAGGGGGAGAAAGATCTCAATGAAAAGTCAAAGAATTGTTTCTAATGGTGTTTTTAAAATTTTTGGCTTCCCTTATCTACAGTTTTAGGTGGAGTGGGTTGGAGTGTGATGTCTGCTCCACCTTCAGGGTTGGGTCAGTAGAGTGTGAGAGGAGATCCCATAGGCAGAGCTCCTGAAGGTGTGGTTTGGGCCTAGGTAGGTTCCAGGTTCTTGGAATGGTGATTGGTCTGAAACTTTTCAATCAGCACACATTCAGTGCCCAGCGGTTGCTCTCCACACTGGGAGACTGCACCCCAGGAATCTCCCCTAGGTTCCACTCATGCAGTGAAAGAGCCAATCCTTTGTCCTTTCCATCATCTGCAGATCTCACATTTCCTAGTCTCTTGGATTCAGGCTCCAAACTCAATCACTCCTACCTCTGCCCTTGCAAATTCATGTATTCCCCCTGTGTAAACCCTTCTCCATGCTTGATTTTCTCCAGGTCACTTAGGCATTCTCTAGGTCATGTGGTATGGTTTTGCCAGGCCTATATTTTGGGCCCAACTTGGGTTTGCCAGGAATGGGCTCCCCCAGCTGCTGGCTCCCATGATGCAGCTGCAAAATGGCTCTGTCCTCTCTGGGCTGCCAGGACAGATGTGGCTTCTTTCCCACACAAGGATATTGTGCAACACACCTTTCTGGTTAGTCCAGCTGTGTCTTTGATCACTGGTCTCTCCATACCCAAACATTGAACAGGCCTCCTAAAACTATGGGTTCCTTTAAATTCCTCATCCCTCCACTTTGCTCATTCATGGAGGGCTGATTTGACTGGCAACAGCAACAGCAATAGCAATGCAGAGTTCTTCCTTATTCTATTATATCCAACCTCCTGAGTCCCTAATCTGCCTTCAACATCCAGTATTAACTCCCACAAAGCCCTTTCACCTTTCTCATCCACTTTGCTGAGAAGCTGCCTATCTGTTTTTTTTTTTTGGTCTCACCACAGAACAGCCAGAAAGCAACCTCCTCTATTCCACCATCTTAAAACTCTCCTCTTTTTCTTTTGTTGAGACTAATGTATCTATGATAGTATGCCTTTGGTTACTATTTGTCTATTCTTCCCCCCAGTTCTCTTCAGTAGAGCACTTGCCCAGCATGTGTGAGGCACTGGGTTCAATTCTTAGCACCGCATACAAATAAATGAATAAAATAAAGGTCCATCAGCATCTAAAACAAAAATATTTCACATGTATTAGATTTTTCTCCTGCAAATTGCAACAACTGAGATTTTTTTTTAAAAAAATCAATCTACAATTTCTCTTTTAACTAACAAATTAGGATGTTTTACATAGTAATTACTGACATATTTGGATCTACATGAATTAACCTATTCTTTTAAAATCCTCATGAAAATATCTACATTTTAAATTTTATTCAGTTTCATAAGGCAATGACAATATATTTTCTTTAAAATTAATAAACTTATTAAAAGTAAACTTTTCCTCTTTTTCCTAGAGTTAATGCAAATTCTTAAGTTTTTTTAAGAGTTGAATTTGGAGGGGTGCCCCATATACTGATCATGTAGCAAAGAAAATACTTAATCCAACTTCTCTGGAATTGTAAAGAAGTCTGTTTCTACCTGTTGTTGTTGTTATGTTGATGTTATTGTTCAATTCTGGGGATTGATCCAAGAGATACATGCTAAGAAGGCACTAAACCACTAAGCTATGTCTCTGATCCTTTTCTTATTTTGAGACAGTCTCACTAAGTTGCCCAGGGTGGCCTAAGACTTGCAATTCTCTTTGCTCAGCCCCCTAGGAAGTTAGAATTACAGGTATGTGCCACTGTGCCCAGTAATTATTTTATTGTTTATATTGAATTAACCTTGACTTTCAAAATGAATCATTAAAACTGGTCAATATTAAACAAGAATTAGAAACAGAAAGGCTCCTAGTCTCCCTCTGGGTTACCCAAGCATGCACCCCTACTCCTCTTTCTCCTCCCTACTCACCTCTTATCCATACTCTGGATTCCATCTCTTGGCTCAGGTCAGGGTCAGGGTGCTGAATGGAGCATGATATGCTTCCAACATTCTCTTGGACTACAAATGAGGAGTTGACATCAAATGGGCTATGTCTGTCTGCAGTTACCTTGGAATCTGAAGATAAATCATGTCCCAGCGGGCCTTTCCACTTCACTATGGGCTGGGATAACCAACCTGAGGATAGTAGCTGAATGCCTCCATTAACAAATCCCATTATAGAAATGAGAGAACCTGAGCCCACTGCTGGGGTGAAAAAAAGGAAAAGATTAAAATGAAGATAATATTCCAAGGCCATAACTGTTCTAATCCAGGTCCATCAATTCCATAGTCATAACCCACCCCCTTATTTTTGTCTTGCATATACATACACTTACAACACACCTGTAAACACCTATGTGGCATTTATTAATACCACATATGAATATGAATTTATTACATGATTAGACATTTCTAAGCACTAAATATGAATATGTGAATAAGATAGAGATAGATCCTTCTAATGAGGAAATTTTCAGAAGGTCAACGAAAGTGGAGAAAGCTAAGCTGTCATGTCTTCCAGTAGCTCATTAAAGCAAAAATGAGCCAAAATAAAAATAACAGTGCAGTGATGCCTTTAATCATTTACTGTCATAGTATAAGAAAAAGTTAAAACTAAGAACTTGCCAATTCCCCATTCCCTTTTCTTCCATGAAATGGCAGGCTGGTCCAGGATCAAGTGCACCAATGCAGGCAACAATTGTGTTACTACTAATGGAGCCCCAAACAAAGGGACAAGCAGTTTTATGAATTCTGATTTTGTGAACGGGACATGGGGGAAGGCTAGAAAACAGAAATATGGAAATCACTGAAAAAGACTTATGGAATTAGAAAGACTGTGTAGATTAACAAAGCTAATGTCAAATGTTTCAAAGTACTAGTAAAATAAATAGATAACTTTATTGCTATAAAAAAGTGGCATAATTAAACACTGTAGGAAGCAACAAAGGATAGAGAAATCACAGGATACTAATCGGAGAGGGAAAAGTGTCTTCAAGTACGCAGTCCTTGTCCTCATAAGAAGTCCTCCACAAAGGTACTAAAGAAAACTTCTGTCCAATCCCTCAAATAAAACGACCTAAGAACAAAGGCAGCCAGACTAGGAATGAAAATATGTGCAAGAGCATGAGACAATGGGAAGGTCTGAATCCTTGACTACATCTCCAGGGAATGCATGCATTTTCTGTGCACCAAGTCTGGGTATGCGGAGAACAGCTTATTCTCATGAGGCTTGTCAGACAAGGCATTTGTAATGGCCTATGGTCAGACATCAAAAAACACATGTAGGATTTAACCAAGAGGTGGACTTTCAATAACTCACTGACAATACAGAATAAAATAAGTAATATATTTCATTGAAAGAAAAAAATAAATACATTTCATTGGGAAAAGTACAGCTATGGAAGAGCATGTCAAGCTATCACAAAAGAGAGAATGATTAAATGTCAAGTGAGTCCCCACTGGAGGTGACATTTGCTCAGATGAATAAGAGTTTATTAGGTTTAAGCAGATTCTGAGGAAGGTTTAGCTAGACCTGTCTTTCAGACTTAGGACTTGAACAACAAAAAGGAGTATCCTTCACATGAGTGATCATAATCTGATGACTTGATTATGCCTATATCTTGCAACAAATAGAACTCAATCATCTGTGTGCTGTTCTTGGCCATTTCCCAGGATTCAGACAAGTGCATGAAGCCTAATGTTTGTTGAGTCAACAGCTTAAATAAGGATTTATGGTATGAAGGCTCAAAGAGTAGGTCTGGATAAAATAACATAAATATGTCTCTTCCTGCTCTTCCTACTAAAGAAAATTTAAACCCCTGGAAATACAACAACTGGCAACCATGGAAGAACTTTGAATGGTGGAAAGAGGTAGCTAGACACATTAGAGACTCAGGAACTAAAGTGACAACACAGCACTAAAGCATCTTATACCTAACCCATGAACAGAAAGTAGGCTCACTTCTTCACCAGATCACTGACAATACCAGGTGAACCCAGAAACTCCTGAAAAAGGATAAGGATTGCACAGAAGCCAAGCTGACAAGAGGCCAGGTGAGATGCTCTTTGTCCATTTGAATCATAAACTCTTCTCTCACCTAGGGACACCAGGGCAGCTCAGCTAATAAAACAGCTCAAACAAGAAGTAGAAAAGATCATCAGGAGTCCCCATATCATCAAATAAATCATGTAGATCAAAATGGCACAGCAAAACCTCCAAAAATAAAATTTTTTGTGGAACCACAACTGGCAACAATTCAGGTAACAAAAGACCTGAGTGATAATCCTAAACAAGATGAGTGACAACAAAAATAGAAGTTAAAAGCTTTAAATAATATCTGTTAGAGTCTGTAAACAAGTCAGGATGGCACCTGGCATTTTGCCAGGGAAATGTTAGGGTCTGTAAACAAGTCAAGATGGCACCTGGCAAAATGCCAGAGGGAGTGGTTTGTGAAGTAACGCCAGCGAGCCATTAAGTGTGGAGATTCCTTATTGGTTGACTGCTGAATCTAGTTTATGATAATTAAGATAAGCTGTGTGGAATGTATAAATACCTTTGTTGTCCTACAATAAACGGCTCCCACTCCTGCTGAATCAATCTACACAAGTTGTTCGTCACCCCCCAGTTATTTTGCTGCAGCCGGACTGCGGCAAATATCCAAAGTCTCAATATAATAGCCAGCATGTCTCAGTTTCAGTTGAAAATTACTCACATGAAGAACAAAGAAAATGTCATCCTGAAAGAGAGTAGACCATTAATTGATGCCAATATCAACACAGGAAGATATTGAAATTATTGAGAGAAAATTCAAATAGATATAATAGACATTTTCAACAAGCAATTAGAAGTTTTATTTTTAAAAAATGAAAAATAACCTCCCATGTTCAAGGATAATAAAAAGGCCATACTCTCAAACGCAATATACAGATTCAATGAAATCCCCATCAAAAAGCAATGACATTCTTCACACAACTAGAAAGAACAGTCTAAAATTAATTTGGAAGAATTATATACCCATAATAGCCAAAGCAATTCTAAACCAAAGAGGGGGAAAAAGCAATACTGGAGACATTACAATACCTGACTTCAAATTATATTACAGAGCTATAATAACAAAAACTGCATGGCAATGGCATAAAAATAGACACAAAGACCAACAGTACAGAAGACACAGACAAATCCTCACATCTACAATCATCTAATTCTTGACAAAGTTGCCAAAAACACATTGGAGAAAAAAAAACCAACCTTTTAAACAAATGGTATTGAGAAAATTGGTTATCTATATGTAGAAGAATGAAACTAGACTCTTTATCTCTCACCCTTTACCTAACACAAAAATCAGCTCAAAAAATTATCAAAGATCTAACAAGTAGACCAGAAACTATGCAACTCCTAGAAGAAAATGTAGTGTCAACACTCCAGTATGTAGGCACAAGCAATCACTTTTTCAATAGGATGCTTAAAGCTCAGGAAGTGATGCAAAGAGTTAAAAAATAGGATGGCATCAGATTTAAAAGCTTATGCATATCAAAGAAAACAATTAGGAATGTGGGTGTAGTGAGAACCCACAGAAGGAGAAAATCTCTGCAAACTACTCTTTTGACAAAGGATTCATATGTAGAATGTATAAAGAGCTCAAAAAGCTTTACACAAGAAAATTTAAGTAATCTAAGTAACAAATGGGCACACGAATGAGATAAACACTCCTCAAAAAAAGAAATTCAAATGACCAAGAAATATATGAAAAAAATGTTCAACCTTGTTAGTAATTAGGGAAATACAAATCAAAATTACATTGAGAGTTCATCTCACACCAGTCAGAATGGCAGTCATCAAGAACAGAAATAATAAATGCTGGAGAGGATGTGGAGAAAAAAGGAATACTTTTACACTCTTGGTGAGATTATAAATTAGCGCAACCACTATGGAAATAAATTTATAAAAGGTTAGGCATGGAACTATCACATAATCCCACTATACCACTCCTCAGTATTTATCCTGCAGAATTAAAGTCATCATACTACAGTGATACATGCATACGAATGTTTATAGCAGCACAATTCACAATAGCCAAACTATGGAACCAGTGGAGGTATCAATGGATGAGTGGATTAAAATGTGGTATATATCAATGGAGTTTTATGCAGCCATAAAAATATGAAATTATGCCACTTTCAAGAAAATGGATGGAAGGGGAGACCATTATGCTAAATGAAATAGGTCAAACTCAAAAGATTAAAGATCCTATGTTTTCTCTTATAGGCAGAAGCTAGAGAGGAAAAGGTAAAGAAAGATAGAGGCAGATCTCATTAAAATAAAAAAGAGATTAGTAAAGGAAAGAGACCATGGGGTGGAAATTGAAGAGAGAGTGCGGAAAGTGCTAGAGAGTGGTATTGGCCAAATTATGTTGTTATATTATGTAGTGTGGCATGTATGTAACAACAAATCCCATCAGTATGTACAACTATAATGTACCAATTAAAACTTGGGGGGGGTGATGAAAAAGAAAAAAACTCACAGAAAACACACAGGTCATCTTAAAAAAAACTAAATGAAAATTATATACAATGATCAAAATAAAAAAACTCACTGAATGGCCTGAATACTAGAAGATGAAAAAGGATCAAATCAATGAAATTAAGAATAGAAAAATGGAAATTACCTATTATTAATAACAGAAATAAGATTACCTAGGCAAAGAGAAGGAGGAAAAACCTGGGAGAAAAAGAAGAGAAATAGAAGAAGAATGACCTCAAGGACCTGTTGAACAACATCAAATATCCAACACTGGTATCATCAGGGTCCAAGAAAGATAGAATAGAGAGAGGATGAGTGAGTATTCAAAGAAATGATGACAGATAACTTCCCATCTTTGGATGCAAATGGAATTCATAATATAAAGAGAAATAAACCACTTAGAAGGACAAGTATTGCATGTTTTCTCAAGTTTAGGAAGGGCATAAAACTGCATACTTAAAAAGCTGAGCTAATGATATATGGGAAAACCCAAAGAAATTCATGTCAAGACCCAATAAACTTATAAATACTAGAGATAAAAACTAATTTTGAAAAAAGCCAGAGAGAAATAATGAGTTATTAGAAAAATAGCAGCAAATTTCTCATGAGAAATTTGAAGGTCCAGGAAGAGTATGGAATCAAGTTGTGGAATCAGTATAGATGACCATCAGTGGATTAAATGAAT